ACTCTTCAACTCACATCTTGGACAACCTTCACTTGTACATCTGGTGCTTTTATTGGCGGTTGTGGTGGCGGAAGATAATTGTCAAATGCATCCCCATTTGTCTCTAGCTCTTTTCTTTTGGCCTCATTTGCAAGCTGTAGTCTTGTCGCAGTCCGCTTCCTTTTCTGGCCAGGCTGTATATCTGGAGCCTCGTACCCATTTTTCCCATTCGAGGAATGAGACCCTAGCGATGTGGCAGCAGTTGTGTGAATTGCAGAAGTGGTTCTGTCAGTCGAAATTGTTGAGCCCGACGCTGAGTTCTTGTAGCCAGGGCTTTGATTGATTGACTTTGCGGCACCATATACTGGATCGTAGGTAGCGGCGATGTCATCTCGCTTTCTCTTTTTTGCTTGGTGTCGACCGTTCTCTGTAGACACTGACTGGTTTGGTTGGATGTTTGATACGACTGATGCTGAAGTTCCAGGAGGAGGTGAGTCGTCGATGACGATGACTTCTTCCGGGAGACCATTTTTATAGAAATCTTTCCAATCGGGTTGTCGGGGCTCCCGTGAGCGTTGTCTTTTCTTCGGATTTGACTTCGCAGCCGTGACTGAGGACACTGGCATGGCTGCTGCTTTTGTTTCGGGTCTCGAAGGAGAATAGGCAGTGTTGTGGGATGTTCGTGGGGGATCGGCTGCAGCAGCAATATTCGAGGTTGTGCTGTTACTTGTGGAAGCCGGAAAGTTGTAGGACCCTCCGAGCCGGCTCCCGCCGTTTAAAAGCGAAGTGTTTCCTCGATAACTCGTGGCAGATTGATAGTTATGATGTTGAGAATATCCGTAGTTAGGATGCTGCGGAGGAAGGGTCGATGGAGTAGACATTGAGGTGTCGTCGTTTCGCAGCCGGTGGGCTCAGACGACGGGGAACCGAAAATTCGAATCTAGTGCTCGCCCCAAAGCCGTGATTATGGTTGTCCAGCCTGCAGCATTGAATCTGCGAAGCAGGAGGGGTGGTATATGGGGATTCGAACTGAATTGTATGGATGAGTCGAGGTGAGGTGTTTTTTGTGTCGTCAACGGGCGCGTTACCTCGAGGGAAGTGGAGGGAGGGCTCGAGTTAGACTCGGAGCATCTCGCAAGTCAAAGTTGGTACGAAACGAAGCCTTCGATACGTGAGATGGAGAGCTCAGAAAAGGAGCCTCAAAAAGTGAATGTGACGATGTCTTTGACAGATTGTCCGCAGGCGTTCTTTTCGAGATGTTGCGAAGTTGGGCTGTCTTGAAGCGAGCGCGACTCCGCTTCTGGTCTATCGCCTCCGCTCAGTGGTTAGATTCACCAGGATTGGTGATCGATCCAAGGCTGCTTACAGTTGACGGCACGACATGCACATATCATACATAGATAGAATGCACACTGGCTGACCAGTCCTACTCCGTACAGTCCTCCGTTGTTCACTCACGATTATTCCTGCGCATCATTTCTGTTACCATGTATCTCTTCGGATTAGGCCCTGTAGGCTCTTCTGTTTGTTGGCCTGTATGGCAAAAGCGAGGCAATCCTGGGCTAGATCTCAGGCGGTCACATACGGGCCTTTCTCACACAGTGCTGCTGTAAGAAATGCTTTTGTCTCTCTGGGCAACGATTCTTACGACGCATACCCACTTTTCCCCTCTCTCAACAACTCACTCCCAAACCAATCTTGAAGCCAGCATCCATTCTGACTTTTGTAAGATCTCACTCGAGTTTGAGAGGTCGGGTAGTGAGTTGTTGCATGCAACAACCAGTAGCTTTCACGAATGATTTAACCTTGTCATGAGCTCAGCTGGACACAGAGGAGCGTCCTATGGCACCCCTCACTGATTCAATTTCATTATTTGCCGGCGACATCGCTGGACTTTTTATACAAAGACTTCTTCGAGCGCCAGAATGTTTCGTAACGCCAGGCTGCTGCAAAAAGCCTTTTCTTGAATCATGCTCACTTCCGGAGATGGAAATGGCCCCCGTATTAATATTCTTTCCCCTTGCTTTTTGCTGCGGAAGTTTGAATGCATTACCTCGAATTTGGATTCTGCCGAACAACCCCTCGGATGGGATCTCGAGGGTGGCAATTTGATAAACGAGAACAAAGGGTGATCTTCATGTCTCATCAAGAGATAACTGTCGCTTGCTGTTAGTACCATCGCGATTCAGAAACAATTCAACACTGCAAAAAAGGCCGTTTGTTTCTATGAAAAGGTCGGTTGGACGTGCGTTCTTCGTATGATCGCCCCTTCGCCGCAATCATTTCATGCGGTATGGATCATCTGAAGACTGGAGGGGTACAAACACGTGATGAATTGTTTGAGGCAGTTCCAAGCTTTTGAGCGTAACAAGTTGTCTCGATGTAACTTTCTATCTGTGTACGACGACATTCTTCTTTGGCACCAGATGATTGAGCAAGAGGCCTGCAACACTCCCTAGATGGGTACTCAAATGCCCCCTACAGATGACCGCTGTTAAACACCGTCAATGCTGTTGGAGGCTGAAGGTCTAATTCTATCCTGGACGTAAGGTTGCACTTTATAGTCTGAAGCTCCATGATCTTATCCACGACATCTTGCCTCTTTATTGCAATGTATCAAATGCCTCTGTTGAAGACAACCTTACCATTCTCACCACCCTTCCCCCAGAACTCTTCTTCTAAACTCGTAACATCAACACTTTGTCTTTGTGGAAATGCTGCCAGAGCTAGTGGAAGAGCGAATAAACTTGTGCCAAGAATGAGTCCGAGGTTTACAGGTAATGTTAACCTTGGGTTATTTTTAAGCCATGCCTGTTGCTGGAGGCGAACCAGAACCAGGGGCGGGATGACCATGATCGGGGAACTGTTCAACACTCTACTAAGAGCCGTTTCAGAAACCGCCAGAGTTGCAGCTTTCTTGCTCTTGCCTAAGGATGCTACCGAAGATTCTGACTTCCCCTCCTCTGCTAGTTTCGCTTTATCGGATTCTGATAGTACAGGGTAGATATCAATACCAAGTCTGATTTCCTCGCCTCGCATCAAGAAGACGTTGAGTGCTCCAGCACTTGCCACTGCTGCAAATGGCACTAGTCTCGTAAGAATCGTCTTGGTTGCAGGACTGACTCTCTTTAATCGTGGAACCAAGGCATTCAGACCCAGTGCCACAGAACAGGAAGCACCAACTGCTAGGAAGTATGATTGAGCGATCTTGGAGACCGAGAGAGGGGTCGACTTGTTAGCATTTGCGTTATTAATAGCAACATTTAGCGATTGATTCGTTATTTGCCAGAGGAGCGTGCCTGTTGTCTATGCAGTGATTTAGTAATGAAAAAAGACTAGAGAGATCAACCTTACACCAAGTCCAGGCGTAAGCATTCCTGCGGTAACCACCAAATTTGAAAGAACGAAGCATGACATCCTGAAGGGCAGGAAGACTGGTTCGCCAGTATCTATTAAATATTAACACTTGCATATTGTTTTATCCTCTGGGAACCTACCTGGATGTAGAGTTGAATCAACAATCTTCTTTGCCTTCCACAACTCGGCATTCATTCCCCCAATCTTTCCCTGCTTGTATCCAGTGATCAAATCCTTTGCATGTTCTAGCCCGGCTTTATTTACTAGTAACGTTCTGTCCCTGGTCAGTTTCATTCAACTCCATAGCTGCTCACCAAACAGAATCACAAGCACCTTTTGCACAAAGAAACTGTATATAACCTCCTCACCTCGGATCTGAAATATTTGCTGAGTGCTGCACTCGGCCCCAATATGTGCTGAGGTCATACTGGGACGCTGGCAGCTCGCGGTTTCCTGGGAGAGAGCTCGACATGTTGACGCTATTTGGGGATGCACGCGAGGACGTTCGTAGAAAGAAAGGTGCCTACAAGGCGTAGATAATCGAAAGGCTTCTTTTTTCTACACTGCCATGAATGTAGAAGGCTTGGTCGTTGTCAATTGAGTCGATGGGTGGGCGGTGTGAATGGAGCTTAGAGCTCTTGTCGCGATAATTTCTGGGCAGATTGGATACTCGGGAACCGATCTCGGCCCGCAGGTATCCGGCCTGATAGAGTTCCCGAAATCACAACTACTCTGGTACCACCAACGGCACGGATTTTACTTCTGAAATGATAATATACCTAGTATGCAATAATATTTCGTAGTAGCAAGAATATCAAGAAGACCTTTACTTCCTTGAGGATTACTTGCATCCCGTTTCATTTTCAGCAAGTTAGAAATATTATTAGGTTGTATAACAGGCTCAGCAATTTTTTGGTGGCGCTTATGGATTTGCACTAAATATGATTATATGTAGGAGTTTATATTTTACTCAAAAAGGCCGTATTGCTAGATATACTCGTACAGTGGGAGACGAACTAAGCTCAGTTCCCTAGAGGTTCATAATACCTCCAAATTCATTAGTTTGGAGTAGAGTCTTAAGTGTAGTATATAAGATTGAGGGAAGGTGGAACCGAAGTCTCAACTTCTAGAGACCAACACCGGAATCCGGTACCTTACCGTTATGCGTCTATTCATAGATATACTTACATGCAAGCCTTTCGTATCTTAGTATAAAGAGCTAGTCAAGGTTTCAACTGAACACATATAAAATTATCAATTTCGCGTAGCTTACTCTCTAGCTAAATCATGCTACCTTTGGTTGCTTTTTGGGCACTTGAGGAAGACTATTGGGATTCAATTGACTCAGTTGAACAGCCAAGAGTAGATTAAGGCTGTCTAGTATTGTCTGTACCAGGTATCCGTGTTAAATTTTCAACTTAGAGCATTCGCTTGTTAAGATGTATATAAATTATTATTTCCTCTTAAATACAATGTACTTGGAACCCTCAAGACTCAGTCGGGAGAGCTTCCGGGCCGATACTTGATTCGCTTATGCAACTTACTCCACATCTAGGGTAATCTACCAATCATTTATTCAAAATTTATCTCGTGTTCGAAAATCGAATATATTTTCAAATAAGCAGCCTTTCAATCAATATTCGCGCAGTTTGCTACAACAAACTGGCCTAGTGGCCTAATGGTTAAGGCGCCAGATTTCGGTGTTGGTCTCTGGAGATTGGGAGTTCGAATCTTCCCTGGGTCGGCTTTCATCTGAAAAGTTTACTCTCCAACCAAGCTCAGCTTGGTTCAATCCAAATTTTTTGCATGACGTCCATTTATGTGCTCGGCTTAGAATCAACCTCATCTTTTTTTTTGGTGTTGAAGGTTACAAATAGAAGGAAACGGTAGTTCAGCGCTACTACTTTTAGCGTGATCACCCCTGCATACCAGGGGCTCGGTCCTTTCTTAGCCCGACATCCGACTCAAATACCCGTCAACTATACGTCACCTGTGCCTTTTTCATGATCATTCTTTTATCTACTTCTCACGGGCATGTCGGGTTTCAAGGATATTGCCAAAGGCGGCTGGCATCCTAAGGGCAAAGATGGAAAGTCGAAGGAGTCCTGGCGAGGTGATAATAAAGGGATTGATCAAATCGCGGGTTGGATGGGAAAGAAGAAAGATCCCACGGCCGAAGCATATGAACATGTGTCCCGGCCCCTCACATCGTTGAAAGATCCAGCTGCATTTGGCCCACCTCCAAAAAACATCAATTACCATGGTGGTGCTGCATTGCCAAACCAAATTACACCCGACCGGCAAGGCCTAGGAGCACCAATATCCCGAGATGAGATCCAGGCAAAGAAGCAGCAGGAGGATGAAGAGGCACAAAGGGAGGAAGAGGAGGCTGCGAAGCCAAAACCTCCACCTGTTCCATATCGAGCAGATAAAACTGGGCTATCTACCTCACACCTCCCACCTCCTCCGGGGCGTAAAGATGGTGCCGATGGGCGTGGTCCTCCACCAGTTGCAGACAAGCCAAAGGCAAAACCCCCAGGGCTTCCTCCTCGACTACCCCCAAGACAAACCTCGAATCCTACCCCAACCCTACCTCCACCGTATAATAAATCGACACCACAAGCCGATTCACATAAGGATATGCTTAATCAAGGTGCCTTAAATCGTTTAGGTGCTGCTGGTGTATCAGTGCCAGGATTTGATATTGGGGAAACAAAGAGGAAGCCGCCTTTACCACCACCATCACCAATCTCACCACAGAATTCCCCAATAACTCCTTCCTATTCGAATAATTCTCAACTAAACGAGCTTCAGTCTCGATTCTCCCGTCTTTCCTCAAAATCTCCTAAACTGGAACCGGCAACGGAAGGAACAACATGGGCACAAAAACAAGCAGCATTAAAGACCGCATCTTCATTTCGAAATGACCCCTCTTCTGTATCTTTAAGTGATGCCAAAGCTGCAGCAGGGACAGCAAATAATTTCAGAGAAAGGCATGGGGAGCAAGTTAAGTCCGGTTGGCAGTCTGCGAATCGATTAAACACCAAATACGGTATTGCAGATAAAGTTGGTGCTTATGGTGGAATTAGGACTCAGCAGTCGCCTCAGTCAACAAGCCCTTCGCCATTAGAGCAGCACGATTCTGGACCACCACAAGGAGCAAGTCGGACACCAGAAGTAGCTGGATTGGCAAGGAAGAAACCTCCACCACCACCACCGAAGAAGCGACCCGAGTTAACAAGTTCAAGTGTGACTGAGGAGCCTGCCCCACCACCAATTCCTATGGCTAGCAAACCCAAGCCTAAAGTAAGTGGAAACTACCAGTAGTTTTGGGAATAACATTTTGTTATCTGATCTTCGGGTTTTCATGTTAGAGTTACCGTAATATCTTTCATAGCCAATACAGATACTCTATGAAACGCTTAATTCATTCCAAAGTATTGGACCTCTCTGGTTTATGTCCTTTTACGCATTTACTGTCCCGTTTGCTGCGGCATTCCTATGTTCCCCTACTACTTAGATTTTCACTCGAGGAAGAGCATTATTCTGAAGTCCGTATAGAATCTTTTTCTTAAAATTTACCAATTATCTTCCTAATATATTGGGATTAGTCCTCGTTGCTAAGCCGCATTTTGTTCTCTTTTTAATGTTATTTATACTAACCTCATTTCCATCAAAAATCTTCACTAACTGCATAGTCAACTAGTACTAATATGGATAAACTACAGCTTCTCGACCTCGACCTCCCCTCTCTCTGGTTCGCACAATCCCCACCCGCTTTCCCACCACCCTGTATCACACGGGGTGGTAAAACCAGTTGTGCCAGTAAATCCGGTTGGGGTTCCAACGGCGTGCGGAAAACGCATTGGTTCACTGGTGTAATTCAGCACAATGCGGATTTATCAAGAACGACGATTCATCTGACGTGGGATGGGAGTAATCCAGGGTTGACGGTGAAGGCAGAGCAGAGGTATACAGCGCCGCCGAGGGAGATTGGTGGGGAAGAATTGGAGGCGTCTCGGGAAAGGTTTGTTCCATCCTATCAGGGAACAAATGAGAAGTGGTGTTAACACTAAATAGATATTCCGATGCTGTGGCGAAATATTGTGAAGGGCAGATGGGCAATCAGGTAGGCGACGGCGAATGCTGGACTCTCGCCAATGAAGCCCTCAAGTTCGTTGCTGCTACTTGCGCCTCCCGTGGCCAAGAGCCCTGCATGACATCTCAATCATACATCCATGGCCATATTCTCTATACCTTCATCCCCACCACTTCCCCCTTCCCCATTCCTCGTGGAGGGATCTCTGATGCGGGAGTAGCGAAAGGCGATATTGTGCAACTGCTCAGCGCGCACTTCAAAGGAAAGGATGGAAGCCAAAAATGGGCAGGGGCTCCCGACCACACTGCTGTTATTACGGATGTAGGGCAGGATGCAGTATTAGAGGTGTTGGAACAGAATGTGGGGGGTGTAAAGAGGGTTGTCAGGGGACGTTATGATATGAGTGAGCTTGTGAAAGGTGAAGTGAGGATATTCAGGGCAGTTGGACAGGATTGGCTACCGCCACTAGATCCGAACTGGTAGAATCAAAATGTAGTTGAATTTTGACATGGGATCAATACAGATAATACTTCTGTTCCACACACGCTCGCCGGAGTGCCAAAAAAAGTAAGCTTCTCCAATACCCTCCGTATATACAGTACGAGGACATTCAAATCATCATCGATAAGAAGGGCGGAACAGGTCAGACGTAGGCTGTCGGGAAGCTGGGGAGTTAGGAAGGATATCTACTACACACCAAGCACCCCAATTCTCACGCCTTCACTTCACAGAGGTAACGAATAACTCTAGCATGTGTTGACTTTGCGCCATGACTTGCATGTAAAAAATCACTGCTTAGTGAAAGAAGGATCCACGTAAGGAGATACCGAAAGAGAATATGAGAAAAGACATGCGACCATAATTCATTATAAAGTCTATGCATAACACAGCCATTGGCCCATCCCACCCATCCATCATGTCATCCTCATCATCACCAGACCAGGCCAAGACCACCCTATTATTTACAAGAAGCAATACAAACAGCTTAAATGCTCATGTACGTCACGGTGGGCCCCTATTGTACACACCAACCAGAAATTAATATCCTTACCGAGTCGCCTCGATTGCTGCATTCAGCGGAACCACCCGCAAACTCCTTACTCTTCGAAGATCTGTGCTTGGCTTTGCTGTCTTAGTTGGTGCTAAGGAATCTTTCCACTTTCGGAATACACTCTTCATATCCCGGGGAATACCTTCTATCACAACTGTTGAGACAGGTATAAAGGGGCGATCTTCCATACTTGCTGCCAGAATCCCATATTCCTGTGCGAAGGTAAGGGCATTGTGGAATGCCGCGTACTGGGATTGAGCCTGTGATCCAACAACAATGTAAATTTCGAAAAAGGCATCTAGTACGTAAATCCTAGACGACGAAAGGTCTTTTTGACAAAATGGAGTCACCTCAACTATCTGTAAGGATGTTAGCTATGACCAGGTAAATATGGCACTTAGGAAGCCACCGGCTAACCTGTTCATTTCTTATCGCTCCAGCACTAAACAGACGACAGCAATATTTGTTGTAGTTCGACTTCATCTTCCAGTGATCTGCGGATTTTGAGATCGAAGCACCCCCAAAGATGTTCAGAAAAGACACTGGCTCAGCACCATCCTCAATCTCTTCAATTTCACCGGTAAGCCCAAAGTCCATGCCTATGAGTCGGGCACAACTCAGCTCCTCAATCCCACTACCTTTGCCTTTCCATAAGTATGACTTCCCTGATGATGTGGCGATGAGGTAAGGAAATCCAGAGCACAGGCTCTGTGGGGCGAAATCGACTTCGTCAAAGGCAATTTGACCAAATTGCTTTCGTCCACAAAGAATATGAGGTGCAAGCGAGTCATATTTGTTGGCTGTTCCCCTTCTAATAACAATGATACCACCCAGTGCCTGGAAGAACTCGGCATTTTCTTTCCCTTGCCGGATTGTGATCAATTTTCCGCTGCAACTTTTAGCCTCTCGTTGTGCAAATATTCTGGCTTCGTCAACTACAGAATCTGGCACTTCGTCACCGACCCAAAAATACACCTCGTTCATTTTTTTGCCTGCCGTATTTCCAAATGTATGTGAGCATATGTAGAGGTTCCCTTCAAACAAAACTCGTTCCTGGTGACTAGGTACCAGATGAGTCTTGCCATCAGCCCCTAACTGATACAAGCTTGATCGTAAAGTCTTGATATTAGCGCCACTTTGATCGGGTCGTGCAGCGAGGATCGAGGTAGTATCAACAAGATATTCTGGTGGAGGGCCTTTACGAAGACCAAAAAAGTCATCAACAAGTTGAGAGGCCTCGGAGGCTTGTGGTACCAAGCTAGATTGAAAACCTGGACTTGAGGGTGACAGCTTCTCCGACTTTGTAGGGGATTTTGGCAAGACTAAAACCGATCGACTCTCGACACTTGGGGAGATCTTTTCTGCTTTGACTGGAGGTGTTGGGAGTGGCCGGGATGCCCCGAACTGGCTACCAGTTGATTCTGGGCTCCGCAGCGGACTCGCCAACACGCTTCCAGTCTGATTATCATTCCCGAAGCCGGGTTTAAGAGGAGATCTCTGGCGGGAGGGGTCTTCGATAGGTTTGTCCCAAGCAGCAGCCAGGCTTTTGATCGATTTTGGAGCTTGCAAAGGCCCTCCATTCATTAGTTGGCTC